TTTGTATATTTTTTTTGTTTTTTATTCCCACAAAGCATTTTACGATGATGATAGTTTTTTTTTTTTTTTTGGTTAGGATCTAATATCCAATTTTTTTTTCTCATACAAAAAAAAATTGACATTCTTTTCCATTCATTTTGGCTTTTGTCTAGTCAATTTTTTTTCAATAATGCTACTGGTTGATCAAATATCAATCATTATTTAGTGGTGATGATTATTTTTGATCAAACAAATCATTTTTCACACACAACACACGCAACAACAACAAGAGTGAGAGATATGGTTGTTATTAATTTTTGGATGATGAATTTTTTCATAACCAAGAAAAAAACAGGGGAGAAAATCTTCATCATATCAGATTATTATATGTAAAGAAAGTGTGAGAATTTTCGTTTGTTTTTTTAATTTAAAAAATCTCTGATTCCATAATTGTTATTTTTTGAATTGTAACCAACCGATAACGACAGAAATTGGTTATGATTTTCATGATTCGATTCACATATTGAATCTACTGAATTTGTTCATTATAATCAAAATTTCTTTCGCATCACACACACATTTGATTACATTATTTTGAATGGCCGCATCATTTTGTTGTTGTTGTTGTGATGTATGTTCGCTGTATCAAGCATCATATTAAGTGCTAAGTGAAGCATAAAACTATTTTTTTTTCGTTTTCTTTTCATCTATTTTGAATGTTAAATTGAAAATTTTTTGATTCTATTCTTTGGGATTTTCTTTTCTATTATTATTAACAAAATATACAATAGTCACTGTGTGTGTGTGTGATAGGAGAAAATTCTTTCTTTCTTTTTTTACACAATGTTCATTTGTATATCCAGTATGTATGTTTTTACTGTACAATTTTATCATCATCATTATATTGTGGTTTTTGTTCAGTATGTTTTCTTTCTTCTTTTCTTTCGGTTGTTGAAAAATAGCTAGAATGTATAAAAAAAGGGAGAAAAGAAGAATATTCTTTTTGGATTATTATTTGAAAGAATTTTTCAAACAAAATTACATTTCCTTATCCCGTTGATTCCATTTGAAAATTAGCAAGTCAATTTTTTTTCCATAGAATCAACGATTGATTTGATGAAAATCAATTTTGTTTTGTTTCTTTGTAAAAAAGAAAATAAAAATTTCATCTTTTGATGCAATTTATTTTTTACAACGGAATTTTTCTTATTTTGTTGTTTTGTTTATTTATCTGTTTTTTTTTGTTTGTCTCTCTCTCTCTCTCTCTCTCTCCTGGATTGACAAAGAAAGATAATAGAAAATGATGATTGGCTTTTACCAGTAATGATGATGTATTGTGTGTAGGTTAGATTATTTGATTTTCTCACCAAAAAAGAAAAAGAAAAAGATCATCATTATGATCGTAATTTGTTTACATTGATTATCTTATATTTATCATTTCGTTTATCATTTTCTTTATTTTGTCAAGTGAAATAATGATCTAATGTTGGATAATGTTCTTTTGTTATTTTTTTTTGGTTAGTGGTTAGTTTTTTCCATAGAAAAAAAAAAGAAAAAGAAGTACATTTTTTTCCGGTAAATCTTCTTTCTGGTTGCATCATCATCATTGATTAATTATTATTACTGACTTTCTTTTTGTTCTGGGCAAATATTTACAAATTGACAAAATTTATTGAAAATCTAAAAATTTTATTTTTTTTTTTAGTTTTAAACAGAAGATTTATTATCTAATTTGAGAGTTGCTTATGGGAGAGATTTATGCACGTGTAGCATGTGGTTATTTGGTTTTTTTTTTGTAAAAATTTTCACTTTTTTTAAAATTTTTCTGTTTCTTTTTCTTTCTTTCTAGATACAATAAATTTGAAGCGGAATTATCTGGGAAATTTTCATCAATGGATATGGATAAATTGTCGACCAACCAGGCTAGAATAACGTTGGCATAATAAAATGGCATGAAAAAAAGGACACCTGTGTGTAAAATTAACACCATCCATCCACTACTGCTAACCGAAAAAACAACATCGTTTTTGGTTTTTTTTTCAATTCAATTCTACTTTTCCCCTAAATCTAAAGAATGTTTTAAATAAAATTTTTTGCTTATGAAACTTATGCTTGTAAAATCCTTTGAACAACAACAACAATTTTAAAATTCATTTTCAGGTGCATTTTTTAATACTTTCAAAAATAACCCGAATATCAAAACTAAACAAAGAAAATTTCTTTTCATTCAAAAAAAATTCAATTCAAATAACGTTTTCGGAACTTTGTTCAACACATTGAAAAATCGGTTAAGAAAGGGCTAATGTCCATTGTCCATTTTAAAATGAATTGTATCTTTTAACGGGAAAATGAATAGATTCAATCTTCAGCAAATTTTTGGTTCAAGAATCAATCCAATATCAACAAGCACAATAAGCATATATTTTCTTCTCTTATTCGATGTTGTAATTGTTTTTTGGTTATTGTTTCGTTATTGTTCTTCTTGTTTGGTTTTTGTAAAGAATGGACAATAATTTTGAATATTAAAAACGTTTTTTTTGAATGAATGAATTTTTCAACAAAAAAATTTTTGTCCAAAAAAAACCGCTTTCCATTCTTTTGTGAAAAAATCGATTTTCTCTCTCTCTCTCTCTCTCTCTCTCTCTCTCTCTCTCTCTCTCCTGG